CAAAGTTTATGCACTCTTGTGTACGTGTATGTATACATATATAAGTTTGTGCAAATGCAACATGCATTTAAACATAATTTAATTAATGCTTGATAAATATTAAACCCCATTTATATAGGACACGTCATTAAAGTGACATTAATTATTGTAAAATATATCGGTGTCGCGTAATGCGACACGAAAGTTGTCGTGGTAATTAAATTGGAAACAGCGTTTCGCGTAGGGAATAAAAGAGCGATGAAAAAAATATAAAAGAAAAATAAAGAAGGAGATGGTCGAAGAACGAACCACCAATTTCTTTCATCTCGCATTACGTCCTACCTACGTTGCGGTCCCAATCGTCCCTCGACTTTACTATCCGCATCAAATTCAATGAGAAACTAGTTGCAAGCAAACTGGAACACGCATTCATTAAACGCCGAAAACAACAACGGTTTCGCGAGTTTACTTGAAATTTATCTGTTCATTTCCCAATCTCGAATATTTTCTCCTTCATTGCGCAACAGCAAATTTCTTATTTTACTTTTACCACCAAGAACAGTTGCTTACAAATAATCACTTAGTTACATTTAGTAGAAGTCAATAGATTAATTCACAGTTACAATACCAAAATCTCAGAGAAACAGTATAAAAATAACTTTATATAATTTTCAATTTCAATTTCAATTCTCTTTTGAAATATCATCAATTAAAGTATCATCATAATAAAATACTAAAAATCAATGATATATTAGGAAAATGTAAACTTTAAAACGTTAAATTGAAGACAAATTGGAACACATCGATAATAAAAACAATTATGTCTTAATATTAGTAAGTTTGTACGGAAATGATCAAATTAATCAGACTAAACAACTGTATATAATCTTCAAAAAAAAAACTTAAATTAAACACGAATGTACCTTGTATATTATTTGAATAATATTCTTTAAGATCTAGAAGCAAATACATTTGAAGCTATTTGTAAAGGCTACAATTTGTTAAAATATTCTTACTTACATTCACTGAACTAACAAAGTTTTCTAAAACTCTAACAAATATATATAGAAAAAAAATATATGATTGATCAACTTAATTTTTAATTGAAACATGTCAATAATGGAGGCAAGGTGCAAGCACAATATGCAATCAGCCGAGATGAATTTGCATTTAGATCAAGCAAATCCAACGTGTCGCCCACACTGAACGATTGAGTTCCAAATTTACACTTTTCCTCTGAAATTATATATATTAGCATATTGTTTTTTTTTAATCAAGAATCAAATTAATTACCGTTAGATGTTTTGTTCGAACGTATAATATTCTCCACTCTGCACGAAGATGCTAAGAATTAACGATTATTTATAAGAATTTTTATAAATATAATTGGTTTTTCACTTACGACAAATAAAATCCTTGGGACAGCAAAGCGGCGAATGCCTACAATAAAGCGGGGCGCAGTTGTCTACGATTTGTTTAGAATGTAGGATTTCCACGTCGCATCTCATTTTCCTGCAGAAAGGCTCCACCAATTCTCCTTGAAATCCTTTCTGGCAAACGCAATCCATGCAAGTCCTGCAGGGTTGAAAATACTGTCCTGGGTAATAAGTTCGATCATCAGATACGCAGACCGGAGTAGATGCAGTGGCTGTAAAATTTCATATTTAATAGTAAACTAATTGTTAATTAATTTTTATTTAACATACGGCAACGAATATCAACTTTTCGACAACAGCTATTTAAATTGTGTCCTACATAACAACCATTTGGAAGTTTTGGGCCTTGGGCTTCTCGAAAACATGGTTTAAAACAGCTAAAGGATGATCTGCAAAATAATATTTGTTTTTATATATTATTTTATATTCAATATATTATTATAATTACGTATTGTTTTTGATATTACAAGTGCATTGTCTGCAAGGACTCGTTCCATTCAAAATTTGTCTATCTTTGTAAACATGTCCTTCAAACAAACAACCGTCCTTAGGTAAATGATAATCAGAGCAATTGTAGGATTCGGGACAACCATTTTTATCTAGATTCGGTTTGCATTTAATTTCATCGTATAGCAATCTTCCTGAAACTTGGCTGCAGTTGGAATTGGCTAAGAAAATTAAACTAAGTAAATTAATAGCAAATATGAAATAAATACTACCTTTAATGGTTATTGCAAAGAGCAGCAACAGCGGAATTGTTAAGTAATGCATACTGTTTTCTTAAACTAAAATACTTTAAGCGTTTTCTTTATATATAGTGGATATTTTAGTAGTAAACAAACCATAATAGAAAAACCCACGATAAGGAGAACCTTCGCATTGTTTTCCACTTTTTTAAGTCGTAGTTATTTATAGAAAATGCATAATTAATTTGAAATATTTATTAAATAATATTAACTCATAATTTTATAACTGAAAAGCTTACAGCTCCTGTTTTCTAAGTATAGTTACATAGAATTAAATTTTCAATGGGTCTAATTTTTGGAGTTATTTAATTTTTCTACAAGAATGTAAACTGATATTGATGATAGTTGGTCTCAAAATGACAATACTTTTTGTTCTTGAATTATTTATTTTATATCCCAATATAAAATAATTGCATCGTGAGCAATATCATTTATTAGCTGAAATTATACATAATGAATTTAAATATTAGTAAATTGTTATAATTATTTGCAACAAAATATTTCTTTTATTATAATTTTGTTTATAAACAATTAAAATAATTCCAAATTTTGTTGTTAATAATCAACCAAAAAAAATTATTTTTTTGTTTTCACAAATTTCTTTTATTTTCTTAGTTAATTAAGACAAGTCAATAAAGGAGGTAGAGAACATTCACATTTTGCTGTATAATTGTCACCGTAAACCAAATCCAATGTATCCATTTTGTTGAAAGTTTTCGATCCAAATTTACATTTCTCCACTGTAAGCAAACAATAAATATTTCCTGTTTCAAATAATAATTTTATTACCTTTATCAACTGACTTGGATTTTACGAGATTCTCAATTTTTGAGTCAGATGCTATAAGAAAAATATAAAATTGAAATTGAATAATTTATATAATTGATTTCTTACGACATATGAAATTTCTAGGGCAACAAATTGGATTTTCAAACTTTGAATATAAAGGAGCGCAGTTGTTTATTATCTGTTTAGTAAATTTGATTTCCACGTCGCATCGTTTTTTTCTGCAGAAAGGTTCCACTAATTTCCCTTCAAAACCCTTCTGACAGACGCAATCCATGCATCTACCATACGGTTGAAATTCTTGTCCTTCTATGTGACTTTCGTGATCTACTACACATATAGCCGCATTGTTATACGGAGCTACAATTTAGTATAGTTTAATTTCTAAAGTATATTGTGAGAAACAACTTACCACATTTTGTAGATGGGAAACAACTATTCAGATCACCAGTAAAGTAGCAGTCAGATGAAAATCCATATTTACCATAAGGTACTCTTAATATATTCCAATCGATACATGATAATTGGAATCTACAAAATAATAATACTATATAAAGTGATAAAGGCGTAACATAACTTACTTATTCTGTGAATTTTTGTAGCATGTGCAATAGTTGCAAGGATTGGTTTTGTTAATGGTTTCTCCACTCTTATAAACGTGCGTTTTAAACAAACATCCATTTTTTGGTAATTGATAATTGGAGCAATTGTAAGCTACAGGACAACTAATGTTAACTTCTTTAATTGGTTTGCATCCGATTTCGTCGTAAAGCAATGTTCCCAAACTATCACAAGAATCAGAAAATATAATAGAGAATGTGTCTATGATGGACAAAACCGACAATAAAATGACTGAACTTAATGAAACCCAAATCATTTTGTAAACACTAAATATATAACGAATTTGCTCTACTATTTATACAAAAAATGGAATTTTGGAATTTTAGAAACGAAATAATTGCAATTTTTTTTATCAAAATTGAAAAATATTTCACATATCCATTAATATTTAATCACACATTGATAAAATAATTCATGTCAAAAAGAGGAGACAGAACGATCAAAGAATTTACAATTTAAAATTCATTGCGTGCTCAACATCAAACGAATTATTTTCATTTTTATTTTTCAATTTGTATCATTAGAATTTTTGAAAATTGTTTAGTTTTTTAAAGATTGGAAAAATAAATGTATCGATTTATTAATTATAACATACAAAATAATAATTATTGTTGCAACAATAAGAAAGTTAATTACTGCAAAGGGCAACATAAAAAATGTATATCATAATAATTTTATGAAAGTTATACATTCTTAAACAAATTGATTTTTATTAATTTATCTATGACAAAACTATCTATTTCTGAAATATGTCCAGATTTCTGTAACGTTGTAAAATTGGTGGAACATAAAAACAATATGGAACAATGTGTGGGTCTCAGACCTTCATGGTTATATGTGAAGGAAGACACCAGAGGTGATGAAGTTAAGACTGAAGAAATGAAATGAAGAACCGAGTCTACCTTTTTGTAGATAATAAGCAAGTGGCGCCAAGAACCATCTCACATTAAGGACCTCACGAAAATTTTATTTTATTGGTGTTAAGTAAGAAAAATAGTAAGTTATTTTATTAAAAGATATAGACAGGGCTAAATATAATAAATAAAAGTCCTCTTCTTAAGGAAATCTATCAAATTTTCAAGTTACAAGATTTTTACAATTAAAATTTGCAAACTTTAGATTAAGATAGAAATATTGCTTCTTCAAGTCTCAGTTGCGACAAGTCAATAGAGGAGGCAGACTACACACGCAATTAGCTGTAATGTTGTTCCCATAAACCAAATCCATTCTATCAAATTTGTTGAATGTTTGCGTTCCGAATTTACATTTTTCCACTGTAATATTAATAATATTATTTTCCAATTGTATTATTGCATAACTTACCATGATGAGTTGAGTTCTGTTTTACAAGATGTTCAATTTTTGAATTTGATGCTGTAAGGCAATAATGTATGTTGTATTAGTTTTTCTGAAAGTTATATCATGTGTTACTTACGGCAAATAAAATCATATGGACAACAAAGTGGGTAGTTATTATTATATAATGGAGCGCAATTATCAACTATCTGTTTGGAATATCTGACTTCAACGTCGCATCGATTTTTCCTGCAGAAAGGCTCAACGAATGTCCCATTGTATCCCTTCTGACAGACGCAGTCCAAACATTTACCATATGGTTGAAATTTTTCTCCTTCTATGTATACTTTACTATCGACAACACAGATAGACATATCTTTGTATGGGGCTAGAATAATAGATAATACTAAATGACAAAACATAGTGTTATACGTGGAACAACTTACGACACTTCAATTTAGAAGGATAACATTTATTCAATTCATAACTCAAGTAACAATCAGATGGTGGTCCACCATATCCAAAGATTAAAGGAAAAAAAGGACCTGTATATTTGACGTTATGACATTCTATTTTAGATCTGCAAAACACAAACATATATTAAATTCAAAATATCTTACAAAAACAAACAAATAATACCCATTTTTAGCATTACCGACGCAAGTACAATTATGGCATGGATTTGTATCATTAATAGCTTCTCCATCCTTATAAACATGTTTTTCAAATAAACAACCCTGCTTTGGTAATCTATAATTTGAGCAATTGTATGAAGTAACGCAATTACGGAAACCTTTGATTGGTGTGCATCCAATCTCTTCGTAAAGTAGCTTTCCTGATTCGTCGCAATACCAAGGTGGTATAAAAAAACACTGGACGGACAAAACCGATAACAAAATAAGGGAACTCAACGAAACTAACATCATATCGCTATACTCAATGTAAATAGAATTTGCTTGGTTATTTATATAAAAAATAGGGAATGCAGATTATTTCGTTTCAAAGCACAACATGTTTATTTGAGGAGACAAAGTTTGCTAATAATGCACGATAATTGCAAATTGTTCAAATTATTTTACAATCATGCAATATTTTATAAATCGCTGAATATCTAATAACAAATTACTATAACTTTTACAAAATTGTGCATGTTAAGAACCTCAATAGCACGCACGATTTTAACCAAATCAAAACAACTGTTCTTATCATATAAATTCCATGTATTTTGAATCTTAGTCAATATTGGATATACTCAAGTTTGAATTAAAAATATTTAAATTGGTTGATTTTTATGACAAATATAAGTTGAGAATTGATTGCTAAAACAAATTTAGATATTTCCAGAAAATTATTAGAATACATTCAGGTAGAAGATATAATATTTTATTTTATGGATTTCCAACCTAATCCAAACGATCGTTCTCATCGAATAAATTGGATCCAAATTTACATTTTGCACCTGAATCAACAAAAAATTGGATTAAATGCAGTTTTAATGAAAAATAATTTAATCGCCTATAAATTATTTGGTTTATACAATATTTGAAGGTTATAGAACAACAATGGACATTGTATGATCCGTATATTGGACCACATGATCTTTGGTATTCTGAAATTTGACATTGCTGTTTTTTGCAAAAAGGCTTAATTAAATTCCCAAAAAATTATAATAGAAGGCAATTGTTATTGAAGCACATACATTTTGGTCAAAATTATTGGCCATGAAGGCTTACATTGTATAGCATGTAAACATATTTGTTATAGTTTTATTTACATCACTCATAGCATAACATTCTCGTAATATAAACTATAATAGATAAAATTAGCTCATAATACAATAGGTTAAATTAAAAATTTGTATCAAGATTTCTGGTATGAAAGGGACAGGTTATAATCTCACCAAAGGTACAATAAAGATGAAAAAATAATAATAATTATATCATTGTTTATTTAATTTTTTTGTTGCAAATATATAACATTTTAAATGTTTATTTATAAGAAACGTGATAGTTCTTAAAAAAAAGTCATCCGCAATTATTATGAACATAGTTTTCAAAAACACAGTTTATATTCCTCCAATGTATCGAAATAATTTTAGGTAGAAGTTATAATATTTTAATTAATCAAATGGTCGAAGCAGGGTTATATTTAACAAAATTTGTTTAAAACTATTATTCAAGTTATTTCAAGGTATGATTAGTTTCTTTATAAATCAAATTGTTAGGCTGCAAAATGTTATTATTCTTCCAGTCTTATCTGAGACAGGTCAATAGAGGAGGTATGGAACACCTACATTTGAATGTGACGTTGTATGGATTAACCAAATCCAAAGAATCGTATTGGTTGTAGGTTTGAGATCCAAATTTACATTTTTCTACTGCAAAATTAAAATATATGTATTTATAATTATAATTTAATATATAAATAATTACCATTGCTAGTTGAGTTGTAATTGAAAACATGTTCAATTTTTGTATTTTGAGCTGAAAGAAGATGATACAAGTTTAATTAGAATTTTAAGTTAAAGTCATGAGTTGCTTACGGCAAATGAAATCATAAGGACAACATTGAGGTTCGTTTTTATTATATATTGGAGCGCAATTATCAACTATCTGATTGGAATATTTGATTTCAACGTCACATCGTTTCTTTCTGCAGAAAGGCTCAACGAATTTCTCATTATATCCTTTCTGGCAGACGCAGTCCAAGCATGGGTCAGGAGCTTGAAATTTCTCTCCTTCAATGTAACCTTTGTAATTGACGACACAGACTGCTAAATTTTTATAAGGAGCTAAAGTTTGAAATAATTGTAAATGATAATATGTGCTTCGCGTGAATCTACTTACGACACATTATTTTAGAAAAACATTTATTTAAATCATATCTGTCGTAACAATCATTTGGAAAAGGTATACTTGGACCTCGGTCAATAATTAGAGGAAAACATTCTATTTTAGATCTGAAAAATATAAAATGCTTTCATAATCAAAACATTATAAACATTAACAAAATTACCCATTTATGCCTTTATCGTAACAAGAGCAAGTGTTACAAGGATTTGTACCCTTAATAGGTTCTCCATCTTTATAAACATGTTTCTCAAACAAACAACCCTGCTTTGGTAATCGATAATTTGAGCATTTATATGAAGTAATGCAATTACGGAAACCTTTGATTGGTGTACATCCAATTTCGTCATAAATCAACATTCCTGATTCGTCACAATAAAAAGGCCATAGACGTGGTAAATAAGGCCGTGGAATAATTATACATTGAACGGACAAAACGGACCACAAAATAAGGGAACTGAATATAACTAACATTATAACAATAGTTAAGAAAAATTGAATCCGCTTTGTTATTTATATCAATTTAGGAAATGCAGAATATTTTGTTGCAAAACAAAACATGTTTACATACGGAAACAAAGTTTGTTAAAAATGTACGATAATTGCAAATTGTTATAATTCCCTAACAATCAACCATTGTTTGTTATATAATTATAAGTACATATAGTTCCATCAAGATTTAATAACACATTACTACAATATTAACAAAATTGTGCAATTCAAGAAAGCATGAGCAAATTGCATTTCCAATTGAATTTTCAACCAAATCCAAACGGTCGTTTACATCGAATAAATTGTGTCCAAATTTGCATTTAGCATAAATATTTAAATTAATTTTAAATTATTTAGTTTTCACGATATTTATCATTTGAAAAGTTTTTACTAACAAAAATATTTATATAATTAATCTATTAATTAAAATATCTTTTAACAAGACATCACTCAATAAGTTCATAGGTTGACATACAGGGGACATTCAGTTCCTTATTAATTAATTCGTTGTTAGGGGAACTATTTTCCACTATAAATAAATACGTTAATATAGTATAAAACTCGCGTACGCAACAACTATAAACAATTGTAATACACAACTATATTAATTAAATTGTACTTAGACACATACATATAAAAAGAATAATAGAAATGTTTTGTGATCGTGAAACAAACAAAAGTAGACATTTCAAATAATTTTGAGTAGTTCCGAACATCTCGACTTCAATTGATTCGCTCTAAAAATCACTACAAATCTTCTCTCTAACTCATTGGCTAGAAGTTAATACCAACTGTTTTATTGTAAAAATAAAAGGACAAGTTTTGTTTTATCCTGTACCATCAGGCCATCAGGCCCCCTGATGACATATCTCTAGCGACAAATCCATATGATTTTTAGGAAGTGATATGATTTTTGACGCATGTCAAAATTTCATGGCAATATGACGTTTAGTTAACATCTTACAGTTATAGTGACGCTACTTTTGTAATTTTCGAATTTCCCGGAAAATCAAAATGGAAGGCAGCTTTAAATTGTCAGGGATGTAAACTTTTTTGTTATAGTTTTATTTACGACCCTGTACATCACTCATAGCACAACAGCTCATAACGTAATTAGTTAAAATAACTATTTGTATCATGATTTCCGGTAGGAAAGGGACAGGTTAAAATCTCACTAAAAGTACAATAAAATTAATTGCATTTGTGAAGGAATATGGTCTTAAAGATGAAAAAAATAATTCTTACATTATTGTTTATTTGAAATTTTTGTTGCAAATATATAAATGTGTATTTACATTAAAAATGTGATAGTTCTTAAAGAAAAGTCATCCGCAATTATAATGAATTTATTTTTCAAAGACTCAGTTTATATTTCTCGAATATATCGACATATTTTTAGGTAGAAGTTATAATATTTTATTTAATTAAATTTTAAGCTATGATTAGTTTGTTTATAAATAAAATTGTTAGGCTGAAAATGATATTATTCTTCGAGTCTTATCCGAGACAGGTTAATAGAGGAGGTATGGAACACCTACAGTTGAATGTGACATTATATTTATTAACCAAATCCAAAGTGTCAGATTGGTTGTAGGTTTGTGATCCGAATTTGCATTTTTCTCCTGAAACATTCAAAATATTTTTAGTATTTATTTTCTAATTTATCATTGCATAATTTACCATTAGTTGAGTTGTATTTCACGAGGTGCTCAATTTTTGAATTTGACGCTGAAAGAAAACAGTACAAGTTTTATTAGATTTTATGAAACTATGAGTTGATGTGATGATGCTTACGACAAATGAAATCATAAGGACAACAAAGAGGATTTTTGAAATATATTGGAGCGCAATTATCAACTATCTGTTTGGAATATCTGATTTCAACGTCGCAACGTTTCTTCCTGCAAAAAGGCTCAACGAATTTTCCACTATATCCTTTTTGGCAGACGCAATCCAAACATCTGTCTGGAGCTTGAAATTTCTCTCCTTCAATATAACCTTTGTGATTGACAACACAGACTGCTACATTTTTAAAAGGAGCTAAAATTTTAAATAGTAGTAAATTGTTATATGTGCAACATATAAACCTACTTACGACACTTTCGGTTAGAATAACATTTATTTAAATCATAACTGTAGTAACAATTGGGAAATATAACTGGACCTGGACCTAGATGTATACGGTCAATTCTGGGAGAATGACATTCTATTTTAGATCTGAAAAATACAAAATTGTATCATAATCAACACATTTTAAACATACACAAAATTACCCATTTTTTCCAGTATTAGAACAAGTGCAATTATTGCAAGGATTTGTGCCATTAAGTGTTTCCCCATCTTTATAAACATGTTTTTCAAACAAACAACCCTGCTTTGGTAAGTGATAATTTGAGCAGTTGTATGAAATGGGACAATTATCAAAACCATTATTTATTTTGTTAGGTGCGCATCCAATTTCGTCATAAAGCAACGTTCCTGATTCGTCACAATTACGTTGAATAGGAAGAGGATACCCTAAAATGCATTGAACGGACGAAACCGAAAACAAAATAAGGGAACTCAATAAAATCAACATTATAGCACAACATTTACAAATAAATTGAATTCGCTTGGTTATTTATATGAAAATTAGGGAATGCAGATTATTTCGTTTCAAAGCACAACATGTTTACTATTTTGCTAAAAATAAAACTATAATTGTAAATTGTTATAATTCCCTTACAATCAAGCATTGTTTGATTCAAACATCTACATACATGCAGTTCCATAAAGAGTTAATAACGCATTGCTACAACTTTTACACAATTGTGCAAGTCAACAACGAGGAAACAACGCACAAGCAATATGCATTTCCAATTGGATTTCCAACCAAATCCAAACGATCGTTCACATCGAACAAATTGGATTTTATACCAAGAAATTGGATTAAATGCAGTTTTAATTATAAATCATTTAATCACCTTTAAATTTAGTTTTTGCTAAAAAAATAATTCTTTATTTAATTGCTTTATTACAATTGCTTACGACATATGAAGGTTACAGGGCAACAAAAGGCATCTTTTGATCAATATATTGGATCACATGATGACGAATTTCCCTGAAAATTCTTCTTGGCAGATACAACCCAAGCACGTGCCTTTTGGACGAAAATATTCACCTTCTTTGTAAGTATGACAGTTAGTCAGACAAGTAGGTAATTTGTCAAAAGGTGTTAAAATATCGTAATTTAATTTATTCAACTTATTTGTTATAGTTTTATTTACGGCACTGTATTTAATCATGCAAGCAACAATATTTTACATCTCCCATAACAGAACATCCTTGTGGTATAGGCAATAATAGACAAAACATGAAAATAGATATACAACTTGCTTTTGGATTAAAAACAATACTTAATAATTTACTGAAAAATAATGCAATTAGTAAATTGAAACTTACTTTCTGGATAAATAAGGATTCGTTCCTAATGATCGATCCATTCTGATACGTTTTTTCTTTAAATTTAAAAACATGTTTTGATAAAAACCCGCTATAATCTAATATTAATTTGCAGCCAATCACATCATAAAGCAATGTTCCCAACTTATAGCAATATTTACTTGAAATTTTATAAATTACTGTAAAAAAAATTATTTTAAAAGGTAAATCAATTATACCTTGACATCTAGAATAAAATAAACGTTGTTAAATAATAATCTGAATGATTTTAGTTGCAAAAATGTGGTTTTGTAACTTTGGTTACGTGTGATAACAAGGAAAATTCAATTTACAAAATAAACACGAAAACGTATACAAACTATTTATTTTTTAACAATTACGTAAAAAAATATGATAATAACATTTATAAATTTGACATTTATAATTTTATAATGTGATAAAATTTTGCAAACGCACGATTTCATTAATGATTCATAGTTTCATTAAGGCAATGTTAATGAAGGTTGGAAATACTGATAACATGTAAAGAGCATTCTAAACATAATTTGCAAGTATTTATTTGTTCAACTTATATTATTTCATTAAAGTATAGTACTTTACAAATAATGAAGGAATGAACAGTTTGAATTAACTATGAAACTTTAATTGCGAGTAAATCTAAAGTAATTAACCGCGGAATTCCGACTATAAATTATTACGAAAGTCATTATTCACCTTTTGAAGCTTATAGAGTACAATGAAACGAGCCTAATTGATGGTAATTGTAAATTCTCTACTAAATAAAGGCTTTAGTTTAATGAGCTTAGAATTATGTAATATTAAAAAGATAACATTTTTGCTATATAGTTTATTTAAAATTACAATAATAAGTGTATTAGGTAGTGTGAATCAAATTTTACCTTTACAAGTCAAAAACGGAGGTAATGAACAAACGCAATTAGCTGTGCGCTTTTTACCATCATTTTTGTAAACTAAAGTAAATGCATCGTTTTTATTGAACCATTTCGATCCAAATTTACATTTGGTGCCTATAATAAAATAACAAATAAATTAAAATTAATGATATTAAACGAAAGATTTACCTGTCTCTTTCTTTGATCGCACTAGATTCTGTATTTTAGAACCAGATTCTGTAAAAAAAAAAGTAAATTAAGTTAATGTATTTTTGTACGTATATTATTGTTTACGGCAAACGAAATTTCTCGGACAGCAAAGCTTATTAGAG